GTGAAAATCAATGACGACTCAACTAATTTCGTAATTTGATTTTCCCTCAAAGACGTAATCTGTCACTTGATGAATCAAATTTTTCATTTGCACTCTTTTTCTTGCACCCCCAAAAAATCATGATTTTCTGAGTTGAGGCCCCTTGGCGCTAACGCGGTCGAGTACGGTAATGTCAAAATATCGACAATAGTATGTTGAGATATAAACATTATTTTTATTTTTATATTTCAGTTTTGTTGAAGAAAGAAGACTTTTAAAGTATATTTGTGTATGACTATAATCATTTATGTTTTCGTAATGTGTACATACTTCTGGATGTTCTTATTTGATTGGATGGCACTGCCTTGAAGTATTGAGCTATTCACCCCTGCATCACATAGTGGTGTGTTCCTGTGTTCTGATTGGTTCTGATTCAGTCAGTTCACCACAAGCCATAACAGATTGTAATGCCTCATTTGCAGTGTGATAGTTTCAGAAATTGTTATTACCCATACATACTAGAAGCTGACTTGGCAAGCATGAATTATGCAAATTGCATGCTAATATTATTTAAAATATACATGACCATCAGTTAGAATCAGTTATGAACGAAATAAAATGATTGTATTGTTTTCTTGATGGATATGTATGGATTCTTCTAACACCCAAGATACATCAGTGTTTGCTTTGCTGAACTGAAATGCATCAGAGGGGAGGGTATATTTGTTACTTCATTCTAGAATTTTCTTATCTTTTCTAAAATTGCTTTTCTCATCAGTGGATGTTTGTTTTTGACTTGTCAATATCACAATGTACAACAACCTATTAGTGCTTTAGTGTTTATGTTCATTTCAAATACAGATCACTTTTTATGCTCTTGATGGTGTTATTTTTATTCAATTGTGTTGTTGTGAATGGTTGACACTTACGGTGCTTTTAGATAATGTTGACTCAGTACTTGGGATATCTTGAGATTGTCTTTAATTCACCCACACCAAGGCAAGATATTGTCTATCATTGCCCATCTTCCACCCACACCAAGGCAAGATATTGTCTATCATTGCCCATCTTCCACCCACACCAAGGCAAGATATTGTCTATCATTGCCCATCTTCCACCCACACTAAGGCAAGATATTGTCTATCATTGCCCATCTTCCACCCACTCCAAGGCAAGATATTGTCTATCATTGCCCATCTTCCACCCACACCAAGGCAAGATATTGTCTATCATTGCCCATCTTCCACCCACACCAAGGCAAGATATTTTCTATCATTGCCCATCTTCCACCCACACCAAGGCAAGATATTGTCTATCATTGCCCATCTTCCACCCACACCAAGGCGAGATATTGTCTATCATTGCCCATCTTCCACCCACACCAAGGCAAGATATTTTCTATCATTGCCCATCTTCCACCCACACCAAGGCAAGATATTGTCTATCATTGCCCATCTTCCACCCACACCAAGGCAAGATATTGTCTATCATTGCCCATCTTCCACCCACACCAAGGCAAGATATTTTCTATCATTGCCCATCTTCCACCCACACCAAGGCAAGATATTGTCTATCATTGCCCATCTTCCACCCACTCCAAGGCAAGATATTGTCTATCATTGCCCATCTTCCACCCACACCAAGGCAAGATATTGTCTATCATTGCCTATCATTGCCTATCTTCCACCCACACCAAGGCAAGATATTGTCTATCATTGCCCATCTTCCACCCACACCAAGGCAAGATATTGTCTATCATTGCCCATCTTCCACCCACACCAAGACAAGATATTGTCTATCATTGCCCATCTTCCACCCACACCAAGACAAGATATTGTCTATCATTGCCCATCTTCCACCCACACCAAGGCATGAGATTGTCTATCATTGACTGTTCTTCACCCACACTAAGGCATGAGATTTTCTATGGTCTTCCAACCACACCTAGGTTCGATCAAAAGTTCTCCAGATCTAATTCTATCATGGCTTGGCAGTGATCTGAGATTACACCGACTATCACGTCGAACCTATATACATGTATTATTATGGGTAAAACCCTGGAATTTTAAACTAACGCCCTCAACAGGCAACATGTGATTAGCAATGCACATCACATTCCCAGGGGCGGTACTGTAAGTTAGACCTAGTACCCATGCTGAAGTATAACTTTTCAAAAAAGCCTCTAAACACGTACTTATCTTTGTGAAATTATACCCCTTTTCAAGTGCAGATACTTAATAGAAACCCCATATACATACTAAAATCATATTGTTTCCAAGTTGAGGTAACATGAATTCATAAGATTCCTTTTTTCACACTTTATTTATATATTTTAAAATATTCGACCCTACACGGTACACGGATATATGTGTCAAATAACTAAATAACACCCCTTTTACACGTTTTTAGCTCCGCTGTCGACTTTGTCGAGCGGAGCTTATCATATGAGTGATTGTCCGTCGTCGTCCGTGTCAATGTTTTACTTTTTCAACTTCTTCTTGAAAACTACAAGCCTGAACGCTTTGATACTTGGTGTATATCTACCTTGGGTAGACCTCTTTTAGGTTTGTTCATTTCATGTTGATATCTTCAATTCTCTAATTTTGGTGAATATTTTTGTCATTTTTGGTAAAAAGTGATATTTTCGACTTCTGTTAAAACCGCAAGTGCAATTGCTTTGATATTACATATATAGGTACTACATGTGGACCTCTCTCAGATTTGTTCATTTTGTAATGATATCTTTAATTCTCTAATTTTGGTGAATATTTTTTCATTTTTGGTAAAAAGTGATATTTTCGACTTCTTGTTAAAAACCGCAAGTGCAATTGCTTTGATACTACATATATAGGTACTACATGTGGACCTCTCTCAGATTTGTTCATTTTGTGATGATATCTTCAATTCTCTAATTTTGGTGAATATTTTTGTTTTTTGGTAAAAAGTGATATTTTCGACTTCTTGTTAAAAACCACAAGTCCGATTGCTTTGATATTACATATATAGGTACTACATGTGGACCTCTCTCAGATTTGTTCATTTTGTGATGATGTCTTCAATTCTCTAATTTTCGTGAATATTTTTGTAATTTTTGGTAAAAAGTGATATTTTCGACTTCTTGTTAAAAACCAATTGTTCAATTGCTTTGATATTACATATTTAGATACTACATGTAGACCTTTCTCAGATTTGTTCATTTCGTGATGATATCTTGGATTCTATAATTTTGGTGAATATTTTTGTCATATTTGGTAAAAAGTGATATTTTCGACTTCTTGTTAAAAACCAAAAGTTCAATTGCTTTGATATTACATATATAGATACTACATGTAGACCTTTCTCAGATTTGTTCATTTCGTGATGATATCTTCAATTCTCTAATTTTGGTGAATATTTTAGTCATTTTTGGTAGAAAGTGATATTTTCGACTTCTTGTTAAAAACTGTAAGTCCGATTGCTTTGATACTATACATATTGTTCATTTTCTGATGATGTCTTCAGTTCTTTAATTGAAATGTGCATTTCTAACAGCGGAGCTATCTCAGCCGATAGGCTGCTTGTTTTACTTCAGCTTGCTTACAATGTTTTATTCAAGAAAAACCACCCCTGGGATTACATTATGCTGTGGTCAAATGAAATGCCCACATATGTGTGCACTGCAAGCTTCTGAATTATCACTGCAGAATTCAAATTATAAATATAATACTGGTGGTAGAAAAATAAACGAAAAAGTCTGCAGCATTACGAATACATTTAAATGTGGCTAGTTTCCAGCGCTCTCTGCAAACTCAAAAATAAATATTCCCCAGTCATAACAGTTTGTGATAGTATGATTAATTTATCTTCATTTACATGCTAGTAATGGGGACAGTTCAATATTTCGAGACTTTATAGATCCTAGAGTCCGATGGTTCATTAGTCCAACGTTCTTAAATGACAAAGGAATCCCATTTATTGTAAAATTTTGAACGCAACCTTAGTATATTATTTTATTCTAAATCTGCTATTACATCTTGTCGTCAGTATTTCATTGTTCAGTAAAGCTATCTTTGGCGTGAAATCCGTCAATTAATCTTTAATAATCATGTGTTTCAAATGGTATTCATTCAGAAAAGCCAGTTTTTTAAGTCATGGCATGTGGCATGTTATACACGAAGGGTGAAAAATAAACTTCTCTAGTATTTGACCCCTATAGCTCACAATAGTACTAAAACTATAGGTGCTTTAATTCTGTATCTAGCTGCACATGCTTGATGTTAAATTTATAGAACAATACAGATGTTTGGTCATTAATCTTGATATATTCCGAAAATGCTACAACATTTCAAAGGTTGTATAGTATGAGTAAATACACATTATCATATAACGACTGCAACACAGATAAACATTGTGTTCCTTTCCCTTCTGGTAAAAGCCTGACTCACATTTATTCCAACAATATATTGAAAATGTGCAAAATCCATCATATTAGAATGCGTGGCATTACATTTTTTCATTCTCTGTTAGTTGCGTCAAATATACAACATTTCATTTTATCTAACATCACGTGATTACATCGTTATTTAGGAGAAAAGGCGTAGTTAAATCGTTTTGGAGTATGGCTACTATAACGTCCCCTGTTTCTTGAGACAGTAATTTTCCTGTAATATCGGAGAATTTCAATAAATCTGACTAAAAATGGTATTTAGATCGATATTAGAGATTGTTCGTTTTGAAGTTCTTCTGTTGTTGGACCAGTATTTCTCCGATATAGACCGTAGAATCTAAATATCAATAATTATAAAAAAAATGGAATAATTTAATACCAGTTCTCTACCGTAATAGTCATAACATAATGATAATTGTCTAATATTAGACAACTCTTTAGTATTGAGAATTTTTTGATAATTATATGGTGAAAAACATGCAGTGTCGCGTATACTGTAGTAAATCAATTACTTATGTATTAGACGGCACTTTTGCAATGATTCAATAACTGTTTTCTTTGTAAACGATCAAAGAAGGAAATTCAACATGAAAGTATAATATGGCCGGTCTTGTATTTTCACAGCATACATTAATACTACATTATTTCTGCATATTGTGTTTTACATTTACAATTTGTCTATCGTTATTGTCGTTTAATCATTTTCTATGTTTTATTAAAGCGCGGTGGTCGTCGCGCAGCGCGTGTTCGAATTCCATGTAAATAAACAATGTATTTTACACGCGTTGTATACGTCGCTATGAGTCCCATATCGAACAGTACGCGGCACGACGACAGCGAACCCTTTAACATCATCATAATTCCATATTGCAACGTTAACAAACGTAAACTTCTCAATAACACTTTCCCCAATAAAAAAGAAATTAGGTAGTTAGTAACTATAGAAAAATTGCACAGCGCGTAAAAGTTGGATACTGTGCGTAGACTATAACGATGTTTTGTTACTCAACTGTCGTGTTTAGCTTGTGTTTTGATGTGTATGTCAACATGTTCACTCTATAAAGAAACGCAGCTACACGGTACACACTAACTAGAAGAAGCGCCTAATAAACCTTTCAAATTTAGAACTTTAGGGGGTTCACAGAATTTCAATGGCAGTTATAAATACAATTTTGCACCATTGCGGTTTTCTCTTTTCTTTTTGTTAGTCTGGGTGGAATGATAATACACCCCTGTAATCGGTAGTAGTATGCAGCAATCCATTTAGCTAGGAATGTTGATATCTTTGACAGATTGCCATATGATGTAACACTTCCTGCACTTGCATTCTTGATATTTGTCCGATAAACTGCTCGCCTACCCATTGCAATGATATGAAACTGTAAGCAGACATTTTCTGCTCATAAATACGATATATAACTAATTTGTGATTGTTGTATAATTCTACCCCCTAAATTTGCATAGAGCTGTTCAAATATTGTATTCTATATATTTCTAAAAATCGTACAGCATTTGTTGTTCTGCAAAACCGTGCCTTCCTGATGTCCACGAACCTACATCTATCGTATAAACAAATAACTAAGATGGTTACACCGCCATTCGAATTCCGCGCGGTTCGATACGCGTTACTTATCAAAGTTTTAAAATATGTTGTCGATAGCTGATAATGATTTTTTCGTAAACACACTGAAAACGGTGAAATAGTTATAATTTACAAAAGAAAATAATTTCAACGCGGAATAACGGTAACTAAGGTGTTACTCGGTTCATCAAGCTGACGGCCCTGTCGATCGCTAGGCGAAGACATGAAGAAAGGAAAGCACTTCGTGGTATTGACAGCGAACACGTTCTATTGCCACTCCGTTTGTGCCAAGGAAAGTAAAAATACGAGCTTCTCACTGTGCAAACTGCCAGAATCTACAAACAACGCGCACGCTTTCGTTGGGTTTGAAAATCGAACACCTGCACTGCAATGTTTTGGTGCGCGTCTTTGAAAGTAGTACCACTGTGACGCATCGACCAATCAACGACAAGCATAAGATAGCGTGATGGCAGAGATCAATCTCCTTCCCAGAGGCCTTTGCGCTTTATGCAATAGTGCCTCTGCCACAGGCAGCCTTCAATTTTGTGGTCAATCACCTCACTACGCACGGCCATTTTTCCGCGGCTGTTTCATTTGAAACCGAACTACAAAAAGTGGAAAAAAAACGTATGTGACATCCGAACTATTCATTAATGTCAGACTTCAGTAAAAACAGTAAAGTCAGGAATAATCTTTTCAGCTTCATTGTATAAAATGATCCTCTCTTTACTATATACTGGGCATATTATTTTTCAATTTCTAAACTGTGATTGCTCAGTCTGAATTTATTTAGGGTACTTTTCAGTTCTTTATTTTTTAGCTTAATTAAGTAGTTTTCCAAAATGAAGTTTGTTTTAAATT